CATTTACTGATGAAGATTGAGGAACATACAGTCTGCAGTTTGGATTACATCTCAATATGAAGAAGACAAAAATCCTCACAACTGGACCAATAAGCAGCATCACGATAAATGGAGAAAAGATTGAGGTTGTTAAAGAATTCTTGCTTGGTTCTGCAATCGATGCCAGTGGAAGCAGCAGTCAGGACCTTAGACCACGTGTAGTACTGGACAGGTCGGCTGCAAAAGAACTCTTTCAAGTGCTGAGGAGCAAGGGTGTCTCCTTGAGCACTAAGGTGCGCCTAATACAGGCCATGATATTTCCTATTGCCTCGTATGCATGTGAGAGCTGGAAAATGAATAAGGAAGACCGAAGAAGAGTTACTGCTTTTTGAGTTGTGGTACTGGTGAAGAATGCTAAAAGTATCATGGACTGCCAAAAGAACTAACAGATCTGTCCTGGAGGAAGTGTAGCCGAGATGCTCCTTGGAAGCTAGGAAGGCCAGACTTCGTCTCACTTACTTTGGTCATGTTGTCAGAAGGGACCATTCCCTGGAGAAGGATGTCATGCTTGGTAAGGTGGAAGGTCAACGAAAGAGGGGGAAGGTGTTTGGTGAGATGGATTGACATGGAGGTTGTGACAATGGGCTCATGTATAGCAAGGATCATCGAGCTGGTGCGGGTTTGGGCAGTGTTTCGTGCTGCTGTGCATGGGGTCACTATTAGTCAGAAATGACTCGACAGCACCTAACAACAACAACAACAAGTCGTTGGTCTTGCAAAATTCTGTCATGCGATCTCTAGTGTTACTTCTCTATCCAAGGCCATATTCTCCAACTACTGTTGATTTTTCTTTATTTCTAACTTTTGCATTCCAGTCACCAGTAATAATTAACATATCTTGACTGCATGTTCGGTAAATTTCAGACTGCAGAATTTGGTAAAAATCTTCAATTTCCTCATCTTTGGCTTTGGTGGTGGTTCCATAGATTTGAATAATAGTAGTATTAACTAGTCTTCGTTGTAGGCATTTGGATATTATCCTATCACTGACAACATTGTACTTCAGGACAGATCTTGAAACATTCTTTGTGACAATGAATTCCATGCCAGTCCTCTTCAACTTGTCATTCCCGGCATTGTAGATCATATGGTTGTCTGATTCAAAATGACCAAAACCAGTCCATTTCAGCTCACTAATGCCTAGGATATTGATCATTATGTGTTCCATTTCATTCTGACAGCTTCCAATTTTCCTTGATTCATGCTTCGAACATTCCATGTTCTGATTATTAATGGAAGTTTGCAATTCTTTCTTCCCATTTCGAATCATGCCACATCAGCAAATGGAGGTCCCAAAAGCTTTACTCCATCCACATCATTACAGTCAGCTCTGGTCTGAGGAGGCAGGTCTCCCCCAGTCCTATTTTGAGTGCCTCCGTACCTGAGGGCCTCATCTTCCAGCACTATCAGAAAATGTTTCCAGGCTATTCATAAAGTTTTCCGATAATATATCAGACAGGGTATCACTGCTCTTCATAAAGTTTTCACCAGCCAGGTCCCTTAGAAGTGGATGGCCCCTTCCTTCTTCCCAGTCTATCTTCGTCTGGAAGCTCCGCTGAAACCTGTCTACCATGGGTGACCTTGCTGTTATTAAAAATACCGGTGGCATAGCCTCCAACCACATAGCAACATGGAAGCTACCACAATATGACAAAACTGACAACAGAGTGGTAGTACTTCCAAATACCACTCCAAAAAAAGTGTGTGTAAGAAACAACATGAAAGGGCCATAACGCAAAAAAAGGAAATCAAAGGCATCCACATTGGTAAGGAAGAAGTCAAACTATCCCTATTTGCTGATGATATGATCCTATACCTAGAAAACCTAGGAGACTCAGTCAAAAACCTGCTGGAACTAATTGAGAGATTTAACATCGTGGCAGGATGTAAGGTCAACATCCAAAAATCAGTTGGATTCTTCTACATAAGCAAAGAGATTGCTGAAAAAGAAATAAGGAAATCAGTACTGTTTTCAATGGCTCCCCAAAAAATAAAATACTTGGGAATAAATCTTACCAGGGACACAAAAGACCTCTACAAAGAAAACTATAAAAAACTACCTCAAGAACCCATAAGAGATCTACATAAATGGAGGAACATTCCATGCCTGTGGATAGGAAGATTGAACATTTTGAAAATGTCATTTCTACCCAAAGCAATCTATACATTCAATGCAATCCCAATCCAGATGCCATCAACATTCTATAGGGATATGGAAAAATCAATCACTAAATTTATATGGAAAGGAAAGAGACCTCGGATAAGCAAAGCACTATTGAAGAAGAAAAACAAAGTAGGTGGTCCCACATTGCCAGATCTCAAAACCTGCTATACAGCCACAGTAGTCAAAACTGCCTGGTATTGGTTTAACGACAGATACATAGACCATGGAATAGAATTGAGAACCCAGAAATAGATCCATCGACCTATAGTCAGCTGATCTTTGACAAAGGCCCAAAATCCATT